AATAGATAAAAGAGCTTTGCAAATTGATAAATTTTCATTAATTTTTTTAAAAATAAATGTGTCAGAAAATTCGTATATTATAAATATCCTCAATAAAACAAATTTATTTTTAGTTTATTTTATAGTAATGAAAACATTAAGTTAAAATACTGGATGACTTTTTTCTATTAATGAGGATTTTTCATTAATGAGATAGCATCATCAAGAAAGGTATACAGAACTATATTAAAACTTCATTTATTGATACCTAATTACTTACGCATTTGATAAAATTGGTATAACTTGGAGCAATGTTTACATATCTTAAATATAATTTCATCAACAGAAACAAAAAAAAAAAANTGAGAATATAAATTGTCAATGTGCTAACTGGGAATGCACATAAGTTAAATGCATAACTGTTCCTATGTAATAGTTTTAAATTGTTTGTGAGATTAAAAATGCTGTATTGTCTAACGAAATACATAAAAAAAGGAAAAACAATCCTTAAATAAAATTATCAAAATCAACAAATAGATAAATGCTTTGCAATTTACATTTTTACAAATAAAAGGAAGAGTCCCAAAAGACAATTGATATCACTTCACCTGAAAGAATAATAAATATACATAAAAACAAAAACAAGAAATTACATATTAAAAATTACACAAAGTTTTTACACTTTAATTTAAAACTAGAAAAATTAAGAAATAATGAACGTAAGAACTAATTTACATTTTTGGACTCGGGATCTTTAAATGTGAAAAAATGCAAAAAATTTTGTGAACTTCTTTGCTTTCCTTCAGTCTTTTGTGTCCATCAGCAGTCCAGAACAAATTTATATGTGGAGACAACCTTTCTTTAGAGGCTACAGCCCCGCAACAATATGCAAACTGGAACAGCGGGGCCATAGCCTCTAAGGAAAGGTTGTCTCCACACACAAATTTGTTCTGGACTGCTGATGGACACAAAAGACAGAAGGAAAGCGAAGAAGTTTGTGAAATTTTTGTATTTGTATTCTTTTTCTTTTTTCTAAAAACCTTTTTTGTATATCCTGCTATACCTTTTTTGTAAGCAGTTGAATTGAAAAATGCATCCTGATCTGTTTTTTAATTAGTGTGTTAATGTCATATTTTTATTTAGTTTTGAACAAGTCTGTTTGCAGTTAAGTTGATATAATTTTAAATTGAATTATTATTTGAATTTTTAATGTTAAAATGATAAATTTTTTTATTATTGCATGATAAATTTTTATAGATGTGGGCAATCATAATTGGAATTGTTCTTGTTATAATTATTGCAATTATTGGTAAGTTTTTATTTTTTTTTAATTGCTTTTTGTTGCATGATATTATTTTTTAATACTTTGTTTGCTTTGTTTACATGAAATTTATTTTAATTTTTTCACCTTAGAAATTAAAAACAGGAGTTAATATTTTGATATATCAAATTAAAATATTTAAATTTAACTCCATTTAATTCATAATTAGGAATCATTAGTTCTAATAGGAAGTGAAGAATATTTTTGTATTTTTATAATTTTAAATTGGTTAATATTTTAATTTTTTNTGAAACTATCATCTTTCACCTCTAAAGTCGGGACAGATTGAGTATTTTTCCCTAGTGTTTTTAAAAACAATGTTTTTGAATAATTTATATAATTAGAGGGCTATGAAAGGGGTTTTAAAATTCGCTACATTTAGCTGAATATACAGAGAACAAGACGTCTTTCACAGACATATGCTGTGTTGAAATAAATCGCAATGAAAACCACCAGCTTCAAGAAATTGCAGAAAAATCCTGTATTGTAAAATCGTAACGCTCTTACGAAGGAAGTTATTTAAACAGAGGGCAGTGAATGGTTTATATACACTTTCATTCAATTCATTTGTATTAAGATTCGTATATTAAACCAGGTGAGGAGCTCGTGATCTCTTGTAGCTTGTATAGAAACCTGATCTGTTGTGAAACTATGTTTAACGTATTCCATTAGTATTCAAATGTAATATCTGTGCACTTACAATATGTACGCGAATACTGAATGTATTCATTTATTCAGTACAAAATTGTATTTCAGATTATATAAATCCTTTTAAAAGGAAATTTGGCCTTTCCATTATAAAACGATTACCCAATTTTGCATTAGAATATATTGTAAACTTAATGATTAATTGAAACAAATTTTAAGATGATAATTATCAAGGAAGCCTAACTTTTACTTAATCATTTTACAAATTTTGTATTGAAATTTTTTAACGTAGAAATAATAATTAACTCAATATCTCTTAAAAATAACTTTTCCGCACGATATTTCATCGATTATATTTTGTCTTTTAAGTTCATTGGCACAATCAGTGCCATGCAATTGATTGTCTTGTGTAGACTGCTTTTCGTTAATGTGAAATAGAATCTCTTCGATATCATCAAGCAATGAGACTTCATGTTTAGGACGCAATTTTACCCATAAATCTTTTGAATTGTTTTCCACGTGATGCATATATAAAGTTTTATGCGAATTCTTTACATGTTCTGATCCAAGATGACCTTTGGAGATTGCATTTTAGACATGTCAGGATGATCTTTTTCGTAGAAATAGCAAGTGGCATACTTTTGGAAGCGAACACTATCATTATGTTTACTTGTATTCTTACTTTTTTCCGAAAGAAGAAAAAGGTTTGTCTTTTTCAATTTTGATTACAATGAATTTTTCAAAATTGAAAGTGGTTTCACTTTGAACTCGACTTCTTTGTGTGTCAAATCCGGTTGTAGAATAACTTATACGTATTCAATTTGTTGATATCGTGCGTTGTGAAACGTTCTTCGATTTGTGTTTCTTTATCGAGTTTATATATATTTGGACGAGAATAATTATATTCGTATATAGCAGGTTTTTCATAAATTATTAATGAGAAATGGTCGCATCAATTTAAGGTCGTTTTTGTCACGAAGTAACTCGGGAAAGTTTCTATTTATGTGCGATAATGCAACCCTTGATATCTGTGTCTCAACTCGATGTTTGCACGATAAAAATAATTTTATTACAATAAATGTAAGGACGCAAGACATTAGAAATGTTGCGGTAAAGCCAAAGACGTAGATGAACATTTCGTGTTTGATGATCCAGGAATATTTTGAGTCAAAATATTCTTCAGAATGTCTAGATTTCGACTCACTATAATTTAGGAGAGAATTGTTGTTGGTACGAATTTCTCCAAGCAAATTTGTTTTGTCTCTAACTTTCTTTTTATGTCGTTTTTGGGTGTCGTATACTGAATAGTCCTCATATGGAGAACGATACGAATTTTGAATCGTTTTACTCAAATTCTTCTTGTGTAAAGCGTCCATTTTGTTGTTATGCGACTCAGTAGGATACTTCCTGTATTGACCAGTCTTTGAAGAATTTTCTTCCAATACTTGGTATGGATTTTTAACGAATCTCCTTTTATTGTTTGGTGTAACATCGAAATTAGAGAAGAATTTGGATGGAACTCTATTTTTCTTTTTTGTTTCTACCTTCCAACTTATCTTCGATGGAAACTTATCATTTGTAGGGACTTCAAAGAAGGAACCTCTTGGAGTCTTGTCTGGCGTTTTGGACATAATTCGGTACGTCATGATGAAATTCTTGATTTCATTTTGTTTCTCGGGTCGAATGTTAAGCTCCCATTCGTCCGCTGGGTGAATTTTGTCATATCCTCTCGATGAAATTCCTCTCGCATCGGCTGACACATCAAGGAATATCAAAATAAATATAGAAATTACAAGCATTTCTATGACTTCGGCAATAATTGCAGAAAATAACATTTTGTAAGCGCTTCAAAATTACTGTCAACAATTAAATGTTAATAATCCTGAATACTGTTTTATTAACGTAACAATAAAATGTTTTACTTTAAATGAGAAATTTTCTTCGAAGAAGTTATTTGAGCTTGAAAAATATTAAAACGCTATCAATTAATCGTGGGTATAGAACCATAAGCGAACTCTAAATTTTGCAGTTTTTCACTAATGGAGTATTCCTATTATATTCAATGCATTCTGTTTGAGACGATAAATAGATGTGTAAAATTCCAAATGGTTTGAGCATGAGCATTTCACAAACATAAAATTTTTAGCGGGCAATTGAAGGCTGGTCCAATTTTCAAATCCCGTTTTCCGAAAAACACGGTTTCATAACCGTTTATGGTTCTATACCCACGTAATGGTAAAATAAATATAATTCCATTCGAAAATACTGGATTTTAATAGATAAAAGAGCTTTGCAAATTGATAAATTTTCATTAATTTTTTTAAAAATAAATGTGTCAGAAAATTCGTATATTATAAATATCCTCAATAAAACAAATTTATTTTTAGTTTATTTTATAGTAATGAAAACATTAAGTTAAAATACTGGATGACTTTTTTCTATTAATGAGGATTTTTCATTAATGAGATAGCATCATCAAGAAAGGTATACAGAACTATATTAAAACTTCATTTATTGATACCTAATTACTTACGCATTTGATAAAATTGGTATAACTTGGAGCAATGTTTACATATCTTAAATATAATTTCATCAACAGAAACAAAAAAAAAAAACAAGAAAAGAATATAAAAATAATAAGAGATAAAATAAGTTCAAATAAATATAATTTATTTATAAAAAAAATAAATTATATAATCCATAAATTGTATTTAAGTATTTTTTTAATGTATAAGTTTTAATTGTGTACAATGTATGTATTTTTAAATGTACAGCAGTTTTACAGTACAGTATGTTTTCAAAATCCTCATTTTTACTTTCGCTGTTTTTCTTTTTACTTAATTTTTTCTTTAAAAAACTTTTTCTGTCTTTCGAATTTTATATTAAAAAAGAAAAAAAAGTTGTTCCTAGTTTTATATCAGTTAATAACAACCCACCTTATATACAAAAGAATATTTTGCATATTTTTGTAAACGTGAAGTAATTGCGCCAGTAAAGTTTAATCAGTTTTAATCTAATCTTAGGTGCATTCATTTTGTCTAGTTTATAGGCTACTTTTACGTCAAATTGAGGTAATAGTATGCATTATTCGGACAAAACGAATGTACCGATGCATATTCACGTGGGGCCCAGGAGTAGAGAAGATCCTTTTGTCATTTTTTTAATTTTATTTAAATCAATTAAATACGTAGAATGGTCCTTTAAATACTTCAATTTTAAAGATTTTATTCTTAGTTGGTAAAAATAACATTAATTTATAGGGATAGAACCACTACGGTTGCATAATTTATTTCCAGGCCTGTAGAAAAATCCCCACCCACCCCTCAATGCACCTCTTAATTAAAAAGATGAAAAGTGGAATTTGTCATATCTGAAGTAGACTGTATCAAGTGTACAGTATATACAAAATGTGTTTACTATTTAGCACTCATTTCGTAGGTTTTTTTTAATGATAATAACAGAATCTTAATTTATGTTAGCGATAAAAAAAAAGTGGACTCTTCGAACTTAGTGCTGAGTAAGCCACTGAAGAATTTCACGTTAAAACTATTGCCAAGATTTGTACAGGTTTGTACGTATAAAATTAGAATTTCTGTTTTCACTAACTTGCGAAACTAGCGAATTGATGATTTGTTTGTGGATAATAGAATATGCTGTGTGTTTAACAATAGTATAGTGTTTTAATTTCATTTTTAATTTGTTCTATGTAGAAGGAACTAAAAATTCCCGTGATTTACGAAGAATGAAGTGTATTAATTGAATGTTTCAGTTTTTAGATAACCAGGAAGGAAATATTTCCGTTTATAAGCTTGTGTTGGAAATAGAAATTATAGAATAAAAACAAGTGAAGTCGATGTCCTGTTTTAAATATTAAGTTTTTTATTATTATTTTAATACGTATTTTGTGGATAATATGGCGTAAGTATTTTCATATTTGCATTAATTAATTAAAATTTAATTTTTATTCTACTCACGCTAAAATTAAATTTAAGCTAGAGTAAGTAAAATGCACTTTTAGATGACAATATTTGTTTTTTATGCTTGTTTTAACGTCTTTTGATTAAATTGGAAAGAAGTTGTCTGTAAATAAATTCAAAATTCTTCGAACTTGAAGTTTGAGTGATAAATATTGATCCTATTTAGAAATTTAAGAAAGTTATTCATTATTTAGAAATATAAGAAAGGTCCGTGAAATTGAAATTACATAATATGATCATTTTTATTACAGGCAAAATACACGTGTTTTTGTTCGAAATTCAATATATTTAATAATTCTTTTTATTATTTTTTTACGAATAGAATTTGCATTTCAAATTTTTAATTTCTAGTAATAAAAAAAAAAAAAGATTGCTACTGTTTTACATTGAGTAATCTACTTCAGAATTTAAAACTATTCATTGCATTTAATTCTACTAATTCATTGCACATAAAATAAACATTTATATTGTGCATCTTCAAATTCAGTTTATGTAGTACTAATTTCATAAACTAGAAATTTATGTAACCATATTTAATTATAATTAATAAATTATTTTCTTACATAGATTAAAAAATAGGTTTATTTAATATTATCTTATGCTTTGCTTTTGTTTTTTCTTTTTATCAAAATATTGAGAATATATTTATCTTTCATTTTAGTGCAAATGAGGATAACAAAAAGCCAGTGGATAATAAAATAGAAGAAACTCAAGCCCAAGTAGATGAGGTAAAGTAACTAAATATTTTTTGTGCTTATTAAACAAATCAATTCATATTTTTGTTATCAGTTTAAAAGAATAATTTAAACAAATCCCAACTGGAAGCACACACTGTAAGAGAATACATGAAACTCGAGCAAAGTATATTTAATTCAACAAACGTTTTCAACCACGTTTCATCAGGTAAACATCAATAGAACATTAAAAAGAATAAAGTTTGAAATATACAATTCTATTTACAGCTAAAGTGCAAATCAACTTGGAAAGTTGATTTGAATTGTATCTGTCTTTAATTACTTTCCAAATTGTAAAATCTGATAAAATCTTTGAAGAAGACAATCTGTTGGAATGTCTAAAAGCTTAATAAGCAAACTGTGAAATCATTTTCTAGAAATGGGAACAATGGTAACTGGTAGGAGACTGGAACAAGTTTATCAATGAATGGGTGCATCAAAGAAAAAATGTTACTTGTCATTCAAGGCTTATAGCAATAGCTGATAGAAAGCTATGGAACTGCAATAGGCATTCTTTCAGGAAAGCTTTTATTTTTACAAACTATTTGAAGTCGTCTTTAAATAGGATTCAACAACCAATCATGCATTTACCATTTAAGTGTTTGTAATTGTGAGTATACAGAAAATGGACAATGGAATATATTTGAATGCTGGTCAATGGGAAGCTGTTTGTCCAGGGCCTAATTTGGCACAAGGCAGGCAAGGCACTTGCCCTGGGCCCGTAATAGGTTCTAAACGTGCCATTGTTTTATTAGTATTGCGAATTACTATATTATTAGCAATAGTATAGCGAGGGGGTGCAAGGGGGTGCACAGGGCGCCACTCGCAGAGGGGGCCCAGATGGTCTCCAAGACAAACTGTGTTTCTGGAGGTGGGAGGGGGCGCCAATAAAATGTCATTCCCCGGGGGCCAGTTATGTTCGCTACACCACTGATTATTAGCACCATATTCAAGGGTTAATAATTAAGAATGGCATTACCTACTGCTCTGACATCTAACAACATCACTAAGAATTAGATAATGTTTGTATGTGCGAATTAGATCTGTTCGGTGAAGTTCAGAATAAAGCAGTGTTTGTTGAGAAAAATATAATGTTTATTGCTGCATAATTTTATTGCAGCCCCAAAACTACAATGTAAGTAAGATATTCAAATGTAAAAATAAAAATACTTTAATTTTAAATATTACAATTTTATTTATATTTGTAGTAATACAAAATTTGTAAAGGGGCCCGTAAATATTATTTTGCCTAGGGCCTGTGAAGGTCTAAATTAGGCCCTGTTTGTCCCTTTGATGAGTCATGATTCAGTATATATTCAGTGTATATCAGATACAAGTACTAATAGAACAAAATATTACATTGAAAAAGTATAATTGCAAGCTCCAATGGTCTAACTGTTAATGTGGGGGCCGAGGGGGGAATTTAAAAAACTCGAGACGAACGATAATAGGCGATATATATTGTCATCGTCTCCCTTGCCGTTTGGATTGCCGAGCGGTAACAATCAACGACATGTGGAAGCAGTTGAGTCAGAGATAGATGCCTCGTTTACAAACAACACAACTGTTTATTAAACATGAAAGAAGCTTACAAGATTACTGCGATCTTGGAAGTTCTACGTTGGCTGCGGTCGCTGGGTCTTCCTCTCCTGTGGTTCCACGATAGTCCCATTTAGAAGGAGTGTCCCTTGTTCGCGAATGAACCATTCCATCACGTCTCGACGACTCCGGGACGATGCGGTCGACTTCCGTCGAGGGAAAGATGTCGATCCGAGGTCGGGAGATGGAGATGAAGATGGGTGCGAGACACACGCACAACAACAGATCCGTCACTTGGAACTTTCGGGAGAAGAAGCCGTCGCGTCCTTGAATTTCCGGGGTTTTATCCATTTTCTCTCAGATTCCCCTTTCCGATTGGTCTATCCTTGTCACCTGATGACAATTCGAAACCTTTCGGGGTGCGGGAGAGGTCAAAATCGAAGTTTAATTTGATATTCAACAGAAAATGGTCGACGGACTTACATTCTTATATTGTTTAAAAGTTAGCATCGCGTTTTCATGTCATAAAAATCTATTTCTAACTAATATATTATTTTCTCTAAAACAATTATTTTCCGCGAATTTTAGTGAGGGTTAGGACCTGTCCAGAGCCTCACATTAATATTCACATTTTATATTTATATGGATTTATAATATTGCATGATCAAGCATGAAAGAATTATAAAAAATTATTTTTATTGAAATATTTCATTTCCTAATTTACAAAATTATTTTATATAGATTGTTGATTTGATGCATGGAAATATGGAAAAACTATATGAAAGAGAAGGAAAATTAACAGAATTAGATAGCCGTGCAGGTAAATTTAATTTTTATTTAGTTTAAATATATGTCTTTATGATGAATAAATAATGAAAAACTCCAAATTTTCTCTAAATAATAATAAAGATTTGCTTTATTGGCACCCACTTGTAATTAAATAACAATTTATCTAGCACTTCCAGACAAGTAAGGTCATTGTCAGGAGATACACAAGTGAATCAGCTATGAAATGCATTGGTAGCTGTCATCTAAATCTGTTTATATATTTAATGACTGTAATTCTGGTTTCTTAAAGCAGATTTTTGTTTTTTATCATTTTTTTTACTTCACATTAAACAAAGTTCGTTATAATTAATAAAACTTGGCATCATATTTATATAACTGGAAGAAATGGAACATGAAGAAACAGAACAGTGACAAATCAGAACAAAGGGAATAAAACATTTATTTTTTTCTCTAATCCTGCCAGCAATTATTATTAGTTACTGCCCATATAGGTCACCCAGAAGTCAGAAAAAAGAGGCACTATATATGACCCTTAGTAATCAAGTGGCAATAGTTGTTCAGGAATATCAAAATCAAGAAGATAAATTGAGGTTTTTATGCTGAATAGCCAATCTGCAACAATTAAATTTTTTTAGTGTATATATTTCTATTATATTTTGTTTTTATATAGATATTTCATTAATAAATAGATACAACATATCAAAATATGACAAAAATAAATATTTTATTCTTCAACATACACTCAGACTCATTGAATATTATATAACACACACCTTATTGCTGAGAATCATTTTACTGCTTTAAACGAACATTTTCAATTTGATGAACAGGCCATCATCAGGTTATCAATTCTCTGGAACGTTTACAATCGTTCTATAATTAAACCAATATGAAATAACAAATCCAAATTTAAAATGGTTCAAACATTTTGGTTAAAAACATCAAAATATATAAAAATATAACTAATCCATTAACTACATAAACTGAATGAATCAAAATAAATAGAGTAAAGCAAAATAAAAATACAAATATAATAACATAATATATAAAATTACATTGACCGCACACTATGCATCAGATTTTACGAGCCATTCCTGATCATATATTTCCATGCTGATGATAACCCTGTGGCATCCTTGTAATTTAAACATTTGCCAGTTAGGCTGGATTTATAAATTTTGAACTTTTCCAAACTCAATGCTAGAGCTGGTGAACACACTGATGTAACAATCCTGGCCTCAGCCCATTCAACCACCAAACCATCTGTTTGCACCACTCTGGATAGTGCTGTAGAATAGTGCTCCTTGTTTACATCATACATATGCTCCTTAAGCCTTTTGTTGAGGTTTCTGGTTGTGACACCCACATACTCTGTTCAAACCTAATTGATCATTTTTATATGATATCTTATATACCCCAGATTGTTCTTTCTTCTTGATCATATCCTTGTCATTCCTAAGTAAGTTATAAATGGTGGGAGCCCTTTTGTACAGTAATCTCTAATATATATCTTTTCTAATTATCATGTAATTTAGTTTTTAAAAAATGAGTTGGTTACAAGTTAATATTATCAACAATTCTTTGCTTCTTAATAATTGATTATTTAAAAAACTGTCTGAGGTATTTCTTTTTTAAACATTTACTTAAAATAATTAGTAAATTCAACAACTCAAACTGGGTATATGTAATTAAGCAAAGCACAAAACAATCAATATCCAACAGGAACTACAAAAATCTACTAAATCATGCTAAACAGTCATCATCAGGCTAAAAGACCTTTGGAGTTCAAAAGCATCTGTTAAAACATTTGCTTTTGTAGATTTTTTAGTTCCTGCTGGATGTTAGTTTTGTGTATTTTGCTTAATTAGTACGAGGGCTGTTCGGAAAGTTCGTGGCCTCAAATAGAACAACAAACAAAATAATGTTAAAACTTTTTTATTTTTCAATGTAGTCTCCTTTGTTAGCAAGGCACTTATTCCAGCGATGTTCTAGCTTTCTTATGCCATTACAATAGGTCGATTTGTCAAGGTGTGCAAAATACTCGTCTACTTCAGAGATGACTTTGTCATTTGAGTGGAATCTCTTTCCAACCAAGAATTATTTTAAATTTGGAAAAAGGTGAAAGTCACTGGGGGCCAAATCAGGTGAGTACGGTGAATGTGGAACTAATTGGAAGCTAAGTTCGTTTATTTTTTGTTCAGTGATTCTGGCATTATCGTGGTGAAACAGAACCTTCTTCTTCAAGTGTGGCCTCTTCGATTTCTTTCTTCAGTTTTTCCAAAAGTATACAGTAATAGACAGCATTGATGGTCTTTCCTCTTTCTAGGTAGTCAATAAAGATGATTCCTTTAGCATCCCCAAAAAACCGAGGCCATCACTTTCCCCGCTGATGGAACTGTTTTTGCCTTCTTTGGTGGTGGCGAACTGTGGTGTTTCCATTGCTTCGACTGTTCTTTTGTTTCAGGAGTGTAGTAATGGATCCACGTTTCGTCAGTAGTCACAAACCGACGCAAGAAATCCCGTGGGTTTTTCTTGTAGAAGTCCAAACACTTCTTTGACATCAAAGTGCGAACACGTCTTTGCTCAGCGGTCAGCAGATGCGGCACCCAACTTGCTGAGACCTTTGTCATACCCAAATTTTCGGTTAGATGTGGTGCACTCGGTCGACAGAGATGCCTGTTGTCTCAGCTATCTCCCGCGTTTTCAAACGGCGATCTGCTAACACCAAATCGTAAACTTTGTCGATATTTTTTTCAGTGACGATTTTTTAATATTATCATTAATTTAGATATACTAATGTTTGTCAGTCCATTTGTTACATGGATTAGAAATGTTTTTGAGAGCAATGAAAGTTCAAACAAGATATGAATGTTTCTTTGAATTATAAGGAAACAAAAGGAAAAGAATTATTTTTAATAATTGTTAAATGTTGATGATCTTACACTTATTATTTAATGTAATTTTCTGTTGTTATTATGAAAAGATGTTTTCTTTAAGTGTGAAAGTGTTTGTTGTGTTACTCTTAATAACATAGGGCAAAAAGAAAAATATCTAAAATATAGAAGAAATTTACAATATCTGGTACATTTTCATTATAGCCTATAATTTGTAAGTTTAGATATTTTTTAAAAAATAATTTATGGAAATAGTATATAGTAATACCCCAAATTTACGCGATAGGTGGAACCGAGTGGTAANTTGTTGATTTGATGCATGGAAATATGGAAAAACTATATGAAAGAGAAGGAAAATTAACAGAATTAGATAGCCGTGCAGGTAAATTTAATTTTTATTTAGTTTAAATATATGTCTTTATGATGAATAAATAATGAAAAACTCCAAATTTTCTCTAAATAATAATAAAGATTTGCTTTATTGGCACCCACTTGTAATTAAATAACAATTTATCTAGCACTTCCAGACAAGTAAGGTCATTGTCAGGAGATACACAAGTGAATCAGCTATGAAATGCATTGGTAGCTGTCATCTAAATCTGTTTATATATTTAATGACTGTAATTCTGGTTTCTTAAAGCAGATTTTTGTTTTTTATCATTTTTTTTACTTCACATTAAACAAAGTTCGTTATAATTAATAAAACTTGGCATCATATTTATATAACTGGAAGAAATGGAACATGAAGAAACAGAACAGTGACAAATCAGAACAAAGGGAATAAAACATTTATTTTTTTCTCTAATCCTGCCAGCAATTATTATTAGTTACTGCCCATATAGGTCACCCAGAAGTCAGAAAAAAGAGGCACTGTATATGACCCTTAGTAATCAAGTGGCAATAGTTGTTCAGGAATATCAAAATCAAGAAGATAAATTGAGGTTTTTATGCTGAATAGCCAATCTGCAACAATTAAATTTTTTTAGTGTATATATTTCTATTATATTTTGTTTTTATATAGATATTTCATTAATAAATAGATACAACATATCAAAATATGACAAAAATAAATATTTTATTCTTCAACATACACTCAGACTCATTGAATATTATATAACACACACCTTATTGCTGAGAATCATTTTACTGCTTTAAACGAACATTTTCAATTTGATGAACAGGCCATCATCAGGTTATCAATTCTCTGGAACGTTTACAATCGTTCTATAATTAAACCAATATGAAATAACAAATCCAAATTTAAAATGGTTCAAACATTTTGGTTAAAAACATCAAAATATATAAAAATATAACTAATCCATTAACTACATAAACTGAATGAATCAAAATAAATAGAGTAAAGCAAAATAAAAATACAAATATAATAACATAACATATAAAATTACATCGACCGCACACTATGCATCAGATTTTACGAGCCATTCCTGATCATATATTTCCATGCCAATGATAACCCTGTGGCATCCTTGTAATTTAAACATTTGCCAGTTAGGCTGGATTTATAAATTTTGAACTTTTCCAAACTCAATGCTAGAGCTGGTGAACACACTGATGTAACAATCCTGGCCTCAGCCCATTCAACCACCAAACCATCTGTTTGCACCACTCTGGATAGTACTGTAGAATAGTGCTCCTTGTTTACATCATACATATGCTCCTTAAGCCTTTTGTTGAGGTTTCTGGTTGTGACACCCACATACTCTGTTCAAACCTAATTGATCATTTTTATATGATATCTTATATACCCCAGATTGTTCTTTCTTCTTGATCATATCCTTGTCATTCCTAAGTAAGTTATAAATGGTGGGAGCCCTTTTGTACAGTAATCTCTAATATATATCTTTTCTAATTATCATGTAATTTAGTTTTTAAAAAATGAGTTGGTTACAAGTTAATATTATCAACAATTCTTTGCTTCTTAATAATTGATTATTTAAAAAACTGTCTGAGGTATTTCTTTTTTAAACATTTACTTAAAATAATTAGTAAATTCAACAACTCAAACTGGGTATATGTAATTAAGCAAAGCACAAAACAATCAATATCCAACAGGAACTACAAAAATCTACTAAATCATGCTAAACAGTCATCATCAGGCTAAAAGACCTTTGGAGTTCAAAAGCATCTGTTAAAACATTTGCTTTTGTAGATTTTTTAGTTCCTGCTGGATGTTAGTTTTGTGTATTTTGCTTAATTAGTACGAGGGCTGTTCGGAAAGTTCGTGGCCTCAAATAGAACAACAAACAAAATAATGTTAAAACTTTTTTATTTTTCAATGTAGTCTCCTTTGTTAGCAAGGCACTTATTCCAGCGATGTTCTAGCTTTCTTATGCCATTACAATAGGTCGATTTGTCAAGGTGTGCAAAATACTCGTCTACTTCAGAGATGACTTTGTCATTTGAGTGGAATCTCTTTCCAACCAAGAATTATTTTAAATTTGGAAAAAGGTGAAAGTCACTGGGGGCCAAATCAGGTGAGTACGGTGAATGTGGAACTAATTGGAAGCTAAGTTCGTTTATTTTTTGTTCAGTGATTCTGGCATTATCGTGGTGAAACAGAACCTTCTTCTTCAAGTGTGGCCTCTTCGATTTCTTTCTTTAGTTTTTCCAAAAGTATACAGTAATAGACAGCATTGATGGTCTTTCCTCTTTCTAGGTAGTCAATAAAGATGATTCCTTTAGCATCCCCAAAAAACCGAGGCCATCACTTTTCCCGCTGATGGAACTGTTTTTGCCTTCTTTGGTGGTGGCGAACTGGGGNTTTTTATTTTACTGAAAAAATTTAAGTAACTGACATTTATATAAATTTTAACTATTTATATATTCTATCATGTCATATAATTCAGACATACACTATATAGTAAATCACAGAAAATATATTTCCTAGTGATGAACAATTTGAAAACTATAATTTCATAAGTTTTTGTATTGTTGATGTTATCTGGAAACTCACCAAAATGTGTGCTGAGATTAGTGTTGCCACTTTTTCAAAATCACTGACCCGGACGGCAGGTCAGGTTTGTTCGAACAGAAGTTCCTGACGCATGCGCAATGTCATTTTACAATGCAAAGGATAACGTGCAGGCTGGTTCTAAATCAGTTACAGTTAGGGACTAGGGACTTGTGTAGGAGTAACTTAAGTAACCTAAATTAAGAAAGATCAGGTACAGATGACTTAACTGTATTGGATATTGGAGAAGTGTGCGCTCATACATGCAAAATGGAAAAAAAAAGGTCGACAGGTTGCGCGCCACATGTCGGCTTAACAGACTAACATGCCAGAATTGCAGATGAGTTTCAGTGAGTGTGAGTTCTCTTGCTGTTAAAATAGTGTAGATTTGTAATAATCTCTGCAAGAACTTTGTTTCATCATAATTTCACAATTTCTATGAAATTCCCGGACAAAATTAATAGTTCACCTGGACAGTGAGTCAATTCCCAGACTGTCCGGGTGAAACCGGATGGGTGGTAACACTAGCTGAGATTGTTGCACCATCTTCAATTATTTACCTTTGCCCTCTGCATTGCAAATTTTATATTTAAAAAAATATTTTTGATTTACATTTGAAATCATTTTAGTATGTTTAGTATGTATGTTAAAAATGATCCCTATATAGTTTAACCTATTTATTTCAAACATGTATCAAAACCCCTTTATTTGGAAATTTATTTTTTTCCCTGAATTTTCAGCCTAAACTCAATATATTTTCCATATTTATCTCAAATAATTTTCTCTGAAATTATGGACTGAAGTGTCAATTACAAATTCGAAGCTCAGCAACTACATATTTGTGGACTGCAATTTATGCTATTAATATCTCTTGCAATACAGTACATAGTTGCAATTAATGCTGCTTTTCTGATTGGCTACTAGTTTGGCTTGCATCTTATTGGTTGGAGAAAGTCAGGCTCAGAAATTATTGACAAACTATTTTTGTTTAAAATATGTCAAAGGTGTTTTATTTATACCTAATACAAATGTGTACTGTACTTGCTATTCTATTCATAAAATACTGTACCTTCAATGAAATCTATTATTGTTTACTGTGTAGGAACCTCTATATCTCAAAAGTTGTCTATCTGAAATGTTTTCTTCCCGTGAGATTCAAGATAGACAGGTTCAACTGTAACAGCAATCATTATTAACCAAATTCTTATATAATAACTTAGTTGAGAGAGCTGTCATTATTCATATTGATGAAACTTTTTATAATTTTAGAAAGATTACAGAAACAAGCAAATGATTTTGAACAACAAACAACAAAATTGAAAAGAAAATATTGGTGGAAAAATTTCAAGGTAATTGATTTGTCTTAAAATTCTGTAGATTAAATTATAAATTATCATAATGATAATTTATAATTATTGTGATAATTTAATTATTCTTAAATTTATCACAATGAGCTTAATTTAAGAGAATCAAGTTCTTTATTTTCTTTTAATAAAAATGTTTTCAGTTGCTATCAAGGCATTTTTAGTTATAACTTTTGCTTTTTAGAACCTCTCAAAGAAAAAGGAACAAGAGTTATAAAAGCAAAAGTTGAAACTGAAAAGAAAAACTTAAAATGGTTCAATAGTACTTGTTGAAAACGTTTTTATTAAAGAAAATAAAGAAGTTAGTTCCCTTAAGTTAAGTGGTTTGAAATAATTATGAAACTTGGTACCATTTTTTGTTAAGTTATCATAAATATGTATATTTATTTCGATGACTGATAGTTTTTATTTTATTGAAAAAATTTAAGTAACTGACATTTATATAAATTTTAACTATTTATATATTCTATCATGTCATATAATTCAGACATACACTATATAGTAAATCACAGAAAATATATTTCCTAGTGATGAACAATTTGAAAACTATAATTTCATAAGTTTTTGTATTGTTGATGTTATCTGGAAACTCACCAAAATGTGTGCTGAGATTAGTGTTGCCACTTTTTCAAAATCACTGACCCGGACGGCAGGTCAGGTTTGTTCGAACAGAAGTTCCTGACGCATGCGCAATGTCATTTTACAATGCAAAGGATAACGTGCAGGCTGGTTCTAAATCAGTTACAGTTAGGGACTAGGGACTTGTGTAGGAGTAACTTAAGTAACCTAAATTAAGAAAGATCAGGTACAGATGACTTAACTGTATTGGATATTGGAGAAGTGTGCGCTCATACATGCAAAATGGAAAAAAAAAGGTCGACAGGTTGCGCGCCACATGTCGGCTTAACAGACTAACATGCCAGAATTGCAGATGAGTTTCAGTGAGTGTGAGTTCTCTTGCTGTTAAAATAGTGTAGATTTGTAATAATCTCTGCAAGAACTTTGTTTCATCATAATTTCACAATTTCTATGAAATTCCCGGACAAAATTAATAGTTCACCTGGACAGTGAGTCAATTCCCAGACTGTCCGGGTGAAACCGGATGGGTGGTAACACTAGCTGAGATTGTTGCACCATCTTCAATTATTTACCTTTGCCCTCTGCATTGCAAATTTTATATTTAAAAAAATATTTTTGATTTACATTTGAAATCATTTTAGTATGTTTAGTATGTATGTTAAAAATGATCCCTATATAGTTTAACCTATTTATTTCAAACATGTATCAAAACCCCTTTATTTGGAAATTTATTTTTTTCCCTGAATTTTCAGCCTAAACTCAATATATTTTCCATATTTATCTCAAATAATTTTCTCTGAAATTATGGACTGAAGTGTCAATTACAAATTCGAAGCTCAGCAACTACATATTTGTGGACTGCAATTTATGCTATTAATATCTCTTGCAATACAGTACATAGTTGCAATTAATGCTGCTTTTCTGATTGGCTACTAGTTTGGCTTGCATCTTATTGGTTGGAGAAAGTCAGGCTCAGAAATTATTGACAAACTATTTTTGTTTAAAATATGTCAAAGGTGTTTTATTTATACCTAATACAAATGTGTACTGTACTTGCTATTCTATTCATAAAATACTGTACCTTCAATGAAATCTATTATTGTTTACTGTGTAGGAACCTCTATATCTCAAAAGTTGTCTATCTGAAATGTTTTCTTCCCGTGAGATTCAAGATAGACAGGTTCAACTGTAACAGCAATCATTATTAACCAAATTCTTATATAATAACTTAGTTGAGAGAGCTGTCATTATTCATATTGATGAAACTTTTTATAATTTTAGAAAGATTACAGAAACAAGCAAATGATTTTGAACAACAAACAACAAAATTGAAAAGAAAATATTGGTGGAAAAATTTCAAGGTAATTGATTTGTCTTAAAATTCTGTAGATTAAATTATAAATTATAAAATCTTTTCAAATTCTTTTAATTAAAATCCTTATATATATATATATTTAAATTTGACAAATTTAAATGTATTTGGTTATTTTGAATTTTCATTAATAGAATTTACATCAAATCTGTATTAAAAAAATTACAAAAATACTAAACAATAAAAAAGCAATAAATATAAAAATAACTATTATAACATATACACTTTATATTGCTGAAAACCTACTTTACTGCTTTATTAATTAAACAAACATTTTCAACCTGATCAACAGCCATCATCAGGTTATCAATTTTCTGGAAGATTTACAATAGTTCTTTATTCAAATGAATATTCGATAAATTCAAATTTAAAAACGGTTTTAACATTTCATTAAAATACCAAAATATACAAAAATATAACTACAGTAGAGCGTCGTTTATTCGAAAGCATTCCAGTCGGCAAATTTAAATTTTTGCTAGTGCTGTGGCGCTGCAATCTTTGGTTATATCTTGGGCTACTCCAATATTTTTTTTTGTTGGTGTGTGTGTTTTAGCTGGCAGCACTGGCACTTTTGTGTAATGTTTTTCTGAGGACTGTGTCGTGCTGAATCAAACGTTTTTGATACTAGATCAACTTCTAAAGTATATTTTTTTTGCTTTTTATATTTTTCAATATATTTATTTTGTTTGTACAAAATAAAAAAGTAATTTTTAACAATACAATAGCCACGATTATTATTTTAAAAAGTTTTCGTTAGGCTTAATATTGACGAAGATTCAACGCGAAGTAACATGCAACAGAGAAAAATTTCAACATGGGATAGGTTAATATATTTTTCATACATAATCGGTTATCCGAAAAATAAGTTATCCGAACAACCCCAGTCCCCAATTGATTCGGATAAACGACGCTCTACTGTAATCCTATAAATACATAAAATTGAATAAAGTAAAATAAATAGAATAGAACAAAATAAAATAAAAATACAAATATAATAACATAACATATAGAATTACATTGACTGCACCCTATGTATCAGATTTTAACAAGCCATTCCTGATCATATACTTCCAGGCTGATGGTAATATTGTGGCATCCTTGTAATTTAAACATTTGCCAGTAAGGCAAGATTTTTATATTTCAAACTTTTCTAAACTCATTGCCAGAGTTGGTGAACACAGCGGTTTAAAAATCCTGGCCTCAGCCCATTCAACCACCAAACCATCTGTTTGTGCCACTCTGGATAGTGCTGTAGAATAGTGCTCCTTGTTTACATCATACATATGCTCTTTAAGCCTTTTGTTGAGGTTTCTGGTGGTGACACCCAAATACTCTTTGTTCAAACCTAATTGATGATTTTTATATGGTATCTTGTATACCTCAGATTGTTCTTTCTTCTTGATCATATCCTTGTCATTCCTAAGTAAGTTATAAATGGTGGGAGCCATTTTGTACAGTAATCTTGTGTTCTTGTAATCCGCAATTTCTTTCATAATACTGGATATGCTTCTGTTGTAAGTGAACTTAGTAACATTGTTGTTCATAGTTTTCTTCATCCTCTTTTTCTAGGATCTGAGTAAGAAGTTATTAATCCTTTAATGACTAAACTTACGACTTACTTAAGCCTGTAACCGATGCAAAATCATAAAATATTAACGATTTAATGACTTTTGCTCCAAATTTCAATGTCCTAGCAATGGCTTTAATCTTAGCCAACTCTTGCAATCTGTTGTATACATTGGAGCAATAATGGAATGCTCTTCTAACTAGAGCTTTAAACACTGAAAGTTTATAAATATGTGGATCATTCATTCAGTAACAGTTCCTTAAGCATGAAGGTATACATCAAGCCCACTCCCAACCCATTATACATCCTTCATCATCCAATGATCCATATTTTGAGGCTAACTAATCCATATTACAGAGGAGCCAAATCATATTACTCAATTTTTTATCTTTTTGTAATAAATTCATTATATCATTCTTTTTTTACAACATCTAAAATAATTAATTTTTTAAGATTCAAAATCATCATATATATTCAAATGCAGTTTTAATAGTTACTGCTACATTTTAAGGTAAACTTAGAAATATATAAAATTTTGTTGATCACAGAAAGTAAGAAAGTTAGCACAGATATTTTTGTTACATTAATATGAACAATAAAAAGTAAAAATACATTCAAAAGTGAATTAACTGAATAATTTTGAAAACAAAAAAAAAATTAGTGTTTGAATTCATTAGCAAAACTAACATTCAAGTTTTCAAGAGGCCAAAAAAATATCTTTATTATTAAATGAATGGTTAAATGTTTTCAGAATGTTGTGGGATCTGCAAAGATCCGTAGGGTTAAAAACGAACTTTTTATGTACAAAATATATATACAATATCTCCAAAAACTAGGGTACATGGCACATGGCAGTTCAACAAAGAATCCTTTGACAAAGAACAATCAAACAAATCCGAGAAACAGGCTAAAAATATCAGTAGCATAGCGTAGTGGGGGTGGCAGGGGTGGCCCGCCCCGGGCAGCACTTTTTAGGGGGCGAAAAAATTTCACAATAAATAATAATAATATTTTGTAAGAATTTGAACCATTTTATTTCATACTTTTGTCCACCTACGACTCAGACCGATTGAAATGAGCACGGCATAGTGTTACCATCCATCCGGATAGTCCGGGAATCAACTTGCTGTCCGGGGATATCGTGCGCAACCTGTTGACCTTTTTTTTTTTATTTATTTATTTTTATTTTTATTTTTTGCTTGTACGATTTATTCATATATATATACACCACCAATATCCAATACAGCTAGGTCACTTGCGTTACTCCTATCCAAGTCTCCCTAGTTGCTAACTGTAACTGATTTAGAACCAGCATGCACTGCACATTATTCTTCGCATTGCAAAATGACATATGCATGCATCAGGAACTTCTATTTGAACAAACCTCACCTGCCGTCCAGGTTAGCGATTTTAATAAGGTGGCAACACTAGCACAGAATTTTTCATTACTTATTCTGTGACGAGACTGAATTTTAGTCTTTTAAATTGAGATACCTAAATAAGGGGGGCGAAATTTTCCTCCGTCCCGAGCAGCTGACACCCATGCTACACCACTGAAAAATATTCACTCAGTGATATTCTATATCAGCAAATATTTCACTTATACAAAGTGAATACCGTGTTTCACTATTCCTTTCACTGATGGAAACAGATTGCAAAACCACAAATTTCCACCACAATGAATGAAGAGAAGAGTTCACCATACACCACTACAAGAGGACTACACACTCCCACAAGCTCAACACCAGGAACTGGAATCAGAGTTGCCAGTCCCACACACCATATATCACCCCCACTGTCGACACAGAGCTGCCATACAAAAAACGCCCAAAACATAAAAAAATTTCCCTTTTATTTTCTTACAATTACAAATAAAACTGCATGTACAGTAAAGGAGATGATCATTTACAATAATAACATTGACTGTAGACAAAATATATATATACAGTATATACACTAAAAGATAAAACAGAAGCAAAAGAAAACAATTTTTTTACAAGATGACAACAGAGACCAACAATATATACAAGGACGACACAATGTTTATCATTCCATCATCAGACCTTTCTAGTTTAATGAATGTTCTAATTGCAGCATTCTAAGCTAATTATTCTGTTCATAGCTATTTAATATACATTCTATATGCTTGAACTTGTTTAAATTGCATTTCAGTTTTTAAATTTATTGTTTCAAAACTATAACTAGACTTTAGGACAAAGTATTATAATAAAAATGGATCAAAAATAATAACAACAAATATTTTAACCAATGTAGAATCAGTTAGAACAGCAATTTCCAACCTGGGATACGCAATAGGTTGTTTAGGGGTACAGAAAAAAGTTAGATATTATGGCAGAAAAAATAATATATTATGTATCACATATTAATAGTATTAAAAAAATTATTAGGTAAAAATTGTTCCTTGCAACAATCACAAACTTTATTATACATTTCAAAATGCAAAACTAGAAATAAAAACTTATGCTGCCGATTGTACAATACAACAGATCAATAAATGTTGCGCATTCAGTCAATGGTAATGGGGATACCATTATGCGTGATTAGTGATTATGCTACGGACTTTTGATGATGGGGTGTGTTACCGTTATTATTATTATCTCTCAACAATATCCCCACGTGTTGTTTGAAAAAAGTATTCTTTTGTTTATAAAAAGTATTTTTTATTGTTAGTAAGGAAAAGGACATAGAAATATGAACAAACATCAGCTAACCCGATAAACATTAAAGCAACCAAAGTGGAATTAACGGGCTAGATGGCTATAATAATAATAATAATAATAATTTGAGATAATTTGGTATTAGAGTTAGGCATTAGGTGCCATCTCATGCTAAATTTAATAATTATAATTTAATTACATTATTGAAAAGGACATAGCTAGTTTCTCCAGATTTTCTGTACAAGCGGTAATTTTTTATGTTATTTATTTAGTATTTTTATTAATTTTTTTATTGAAAAGACTATGTCTTGTTTATAAAATCATACCGCCTGCTGTGTTACCAGCTTAGAGGTATGAAGGAGTACATGTCAAAAGTTGCAATTTGGCACAAAGTATTAAGTGCCCAAATCATGCGCGCATAAAAAAAATCAGACTTATAGGTACTCAGGGGACTGAGAACCGAGTCAAAATAAAATTCAAAATGGCCACACTTGACAAACAGGCAGTGTGAGATTTGTGCATGCATTGCTCGTTGGGAAGTTGGAAATGCCATGGGGGTACACTAATGTAAAAAGGTTGGGAACCGCTGAGTTAGAACATTTAATGCATTTCTTAACATAATTTGGCTGAACATAAAGTTAAATAAAGGATTTCTGATGCCATTGTAAGATTTTGAACATTATTCAAGCAAAAGAATATTAGATATAGTGTTCAGGGATTAAATAATAATTAATAATTTATACTGGTTTTTTGAAATATTAACTTAAACACTTTAACTTATTTTTTCACTTCATAAATTTTTCCAGATATGGGCCGTCATTATTGGAATTATTATTGTTTTTATTATTGCAATCATTGGTATGTTTAGTTTTTTTTAATATTCTTTCATTGCTATTGTCATTAAAAAATAAATATATTTGCTTTTTAATTTTATTATTTATGTTATAAAAAGAATAGCTTACTAATATACAGAGTTGTTGTTAGTAAGCTTTCTGAGTTGGAAAGTCAGAAAGCTGGAGCATATTCTACTGCTTGAAATGAAACATTTGGACAACAGATACTTCTGAAGATGCATTCACCATTATTAAATAAAAATTTTTTGTCAAAAGAGTCACTAATAGGTAATACAAAAGCTATGCAAATCACAAACAGTTATAAATGTTTAATATGTATTCCATTGTTTTCAGTAATGTTTTCCATTTGCAAAAACATGTTTTCTACCATTGAATGCTATGGGTTCTTTAATTGAAGAACATGCTGATGAATGCTGTCCTTAGATCTGACATAGATGCACATCTTTCATGACAGACTTGGTTCTTCAAGAACCTCATAAGAAGTCACATCCCATGGGGTGAAATCAAGCAAGCAAGGAGACCGAGCTGTTGGGAATTAATGGCTTAGCACCCATTCACCTGTGAAATTTACCTTCACAAACATTGAACAGAGTAAGCAATGTGGGTTGTGCACTATCTTGCATGAATATTGTATCATAAAAGCACCAACGTTGAAGTTCTGGTATAACAAATGTTGCCAACATGTTAAAATACTGTTCTCCAGTGATGGAATGGGTTTGGATTCTAGATCTGTAAGGTTACTGAATGGGTGCAATTTTCGGGATGTTGAGGGGTTGTGATAATTATGCATAGGAGTGATTTAGACACTGAGACAGGCTTACCATTTACACTTTGATCCCATTTAATAAAATAAAAATATTCTTACAAAATTTTGCTATAGTCATCTTTACAATTCTTCTTTGATACTTCTGTTTAAGAAGAGAGACAAAAATTTCAAATGTTGCAGTGAATATATTCACTTGGTCCCTTGAGGATTGTCTTCTAGAAGATTAATGGCCCCGGAGCTTGTGGGTAAGTTCAGATCCGAACAGATACATGATGTCAAATGCTGTATTTGGTTACAGCTGGACGTTTGATCACATGACACAGGGATCTTGGAGTCAGCATATCCTGGTAGATTCCAGACCAGCCAAAATATGACAGATCTTAGAGAAGTAAGCATAGTGTCCTTGAAACCTGAGTTTTTAAAGGGTTTCTCTCTTCTATTTTGCATTCTGATTGATCTTCCCTCATCTCCCAGTGACAATTCAAAACCTTCTAGGGGCACAAGAGAGGTTGATATCAATACTCAACCCAATCCTAATTGGATAAAATTCCTTCAAACTTTGAAATTCTCCTTCATAATTCAAGCTTTTTGTTTTTTTCTGACAGAAAGAAAATTCTTTATTATCTTTGTGAGACTATAAATTTTGCATCTGGTTTTATTTTCGAAAGGTGAAAGTTCAACTGTCCTGTTAGATATCCATTAACATTTAAACACTAAAATCTGATTTTTTTCCAGGACCTCACAGTTGCATAGCTTCAGTGCTACTGATTGGTGACTTTCTGTATGAAAACTTTTTATTTAATAAATGGTAAGTGCATTATCTGAAATACCTGTAGTCCAAATGTTTGATTTCAAGCAATAGAACACACTACAGAGCCTTCCAAGTTGGGGAAGTTATACAGGTTGTTTTTTAACAACCTGTATGAATTTTGCTAAATTATGCTTTTAAAATTGTCACACACTCATTTTCTGATAAATGTATCATGGAGACATTATTGATTTTATAATGTTTAAAAACTTTAACTAAAGTATTGAAAAATATTTCATTTAAATAATTTGATGCAGTAAGTTAATGAAGCAGATACAATATTTTCTATTATTCCATTTTTAGTCTATTTGATTTTATTGTCTGTCATAGAAACTTTTTAAATTTTTCTTTTATCATATTAATTAATCTTTAACTTTTAGTTAAACTTAAATGTATTTATACATTAAGAAATGTATAAATACATTTAAGCTTGCAAAAAATTACAAATTCTTAGTTAATTATTTGTATTAAATTCTCAATTGATCTTATTATATTTTAGTTTATGCAGTTCAAGCAAATTCCTAAGCAATTTCCTATGTAAGCATATATTCATAATTATAATGTTTACTTAATTTTTTTTATATGATTAAAGTAAGAATTTAAATTTCAGATCATATAAAGAAGTATTACATTAAAATCATTTAAGATTTTGCCAAAAATATGCTTTGTGTTATAACTTTGAATCCTGTGTAATGTTTAAGTATAGTTTCATGAAAATGCAATATTTTTCTACATATTTATTCATAGTAAAACTGAACTTTTTAATTTAGAAATTAGATATTGTAAAGTAAAAATAGGTTTTTGTAAAATTAACATTTTTATTCTCACAAAATGTTTAAAGGTTTTACTTGTTTAAAAAATATTCATTTTATTGAATGTAAAAATGTTTGATAGTGTTCCATTCCATAACTAGTCAAAATATTTGTTTACAATATATTTTATTTAGTTTTAAAGAAAACGATTCAAACAAAATTTCCTAATTTAAACATGGGTTATTTTTAATTAAATAATTTATGTATAAATTAATTACAGGAAAGTACAGATAACAATTTTGATATGAAAAATACAGTAGAACCTCGATTATCCGGACCTCTATTATCCGGATTTTCGATTATCCGGATTGTTCAAAATAAACAAAAATTTTACGAATTTGCTGATTTGCACTTGGCGAATTACGATACTGTTTATGTACGTGATGGAATGCATAACTTTTTTTGTTTCAACAACGTCTCACCCAGCACAGTGGTCGTAAACTCTTAAATATATTTTACGTCGTAATAAAAATATAACTTGACATACGTATTTATAAATAATTTATATTCAAATTACATCATTTCTA